CGAAATGGAATCAAGATCGCGATTCGACAGAAGATTGTCATGTATATCTTTCAGTGAAGCACGGTTCTGTGATCAGCAGTAAATCTCCATCCAAAACCCAGAAGGCGCTCTCGCGCTGAAACTCCAAATACGCCTCGCAGAAGAAACCCAGAAAATGCTTGTCGCTGCAGCTGAATAAACAGAAAATTCAACTGCTTTCATTGATTCAACGTGATTAATAAACACACAACTACGGCAATATATGGTTTGTCTGAGTTCTTATTATTATAATTTTCATTAATTAAAGTATATTTATAATGCAATGCCTTTATCACTGCTTAAATACTATGAAATATGTTGCGTGTCTTATTCTGTGTAAGAAGCCACATCATCTCACAGAAGGATTTAAAATGAGTAAAAATATGTTATTAAATGTGGTATTTTCACATGCTTTCAGATGGAGCAGCATTTACTTCACAGAGCCGAAGTTCACTGAGAAGTTATGCAAACAGCTGTCATTATCGCGAACGATTTCTTCGATTTCAGAATCGCGCAATAAAATCATCTGCGATTTTTACATTTTTTTTGTGTATCTTGTCAGTGAATTATGGCTATGTGTAGTAAATTCTGCTCCATCTGAAAGCACGTGATGATGATTTCCTGCTGATTACAGAACCGGCTTTTTTTTAACAAAATGCGCATGACAATCGCATTCGATTAATCATGCAGGCCTAGTGGGCAGCTTTGATTTAGGTCACAACTGTTCAATTCACTGACTCCAGCCATGTTGCATTATAACCAGGGCATAATGAATTTTATTCAAAAAGCATAAATGGAAATGAAAGCATTCAGACTTGTTGTCAGGGCTGGGAAAGGTTATGCATGTTTAGCTGTGGCTGACTTTGTTGTATAGGACTACGGGGCCTGGCTCACTTATTTCTATATACAGTGGGGAAAAAAAGTATTTAGTCAGCCACCAATTGTGCAAGTTCTCCCACTTAAAAAGATGAGAGAGGCCTGTAATTTTCATCATAGGTATACCTCAACTATGAGAGACAAAATGAGGAAAAAAAATCCAGAAAATCACATTGTAGGATTTTTAAAGAATTTATTTGCAAATTATGGTGGAAAATAAGTATTTGGTCAATAACAAAATTTCATCTCAATACTTTGTTATATACCCTTTGTTGGCAATGACAGAGGTCAAACGTTTGCTGTAAGTCTTCACAAGGTTTTCACACACGGTTGCTGGTATTTTGGCCCATTCCTCCATCCAGATCTCCTCTAGAGCAGTAATGTTTTGGGACTGTCGCTGGGCAACACGAAACAAAATACATACTATGTGTATTTACATCCAGTAATTTTTTTAAAATAATTAATTGCTGGCAGGTGTAGCAAAACATTTATTTGGATTTAGTATAATATTGTATCTTTTTCAAGCTTCGTCTTGTAACATAAAATGCTGTTTTATCAGCTGTGTTTGACTCTCGGATATGATATAAAAAGAAGTCCTTGTGTTAACATATGCAGTGTTGTTGTATGCGGCAGACTGCTGTGTACTTGTCTAGTGGAGTGATGTGAATGTTGCCATTTTTCCATGATTCCTCCCGGAGTAGGCAGTGCCGTGACTGGAGCCAGTGTGCAGCACATAGGGGCGTCTTTGTGCCTGAATTCAGACCCGCCTCCTCTCCAGTCCTTGCCACTAGCAGCCATTCTCTTTCTGAGATGACACCATGTTATTCCCACTATTTCCATTAGCCTACCTAATATGGCCAGGGTGACCTTGGTGGTATTGTTTGGCAGGAACACACTCCTTTTTAAAAAACATTACAAACATAATTGTTTTCTATTCTGTTCTTCCTGCTTCCCTGGGCTGTTTACAACTCTCCCCATCCCACCAGCTAGAGGAGCATCATGAGTATTCCCTGATTGCCTGATTGTTCTTCACCAGTGCAAGTCCTTCCTCTCTCTCATAGCCGCTCTGTGAGTGTGTCAGGTCATGACTCAGCATTGCCAAGAAGAATGGCTTTATTTTACAGCTGTACGTTTCAGTCCTGTGTCTTCTGGTGTTGTTTCCCCCAGCATGCCCAATGTGTGTTGTAGGTGTGCTAAGATAAGCATATTCAAACAAATGATAGTGTTCTCTCAGCCAAAGCAGAAAGGGAGGGTTCACTGAGCTGGAATAAGAGAATGATCTATATAGACTATAAAGCGTGTTCCTCAAGGTCAGTGAAGGGTGTCTATTGAAGCGTACCTGACATGTCTTTCTTACTACCTCATGTTATGACCATAATGCCACTCCCTATAGGCATTACAAATCAGGCCCAAAGGAGCCCGTAAGTGAACAGAGGAACATGTTACAAAGAGGGAAAAAAGGGATTATACAGCTGTGTTGTTACCTCTGGCTATCCTAAAAATGATATGAAATCTAATTTGACTCTATTGAATAAGTGTTCCTAGTTTTACTGTGCACAATTACTCATTGCATATTATTCTTAAGAGTGTGTTCATAATCTTGTATCAAAATGTCATGTGCTTTCGAAAGGTGCAGCATGTTTTGGTAACATTTGGTCCTTGTTACACTTGTTACATGTATTTACTATAGTAATAACACTAATTTTGCAAAATTATATGCAACTAACACTAAACCAAACCAAACTGTAATATTAAACATATAGTACATGTTGTCAAGTAAGGGATAATGTACATCCAGCTGGTTGTTATCGCAGAACCTACAGGGTGATCAGGACTTGTTACACCCTGAAGGGGTTATTCTGTGATAACAACCGGCTGGATGTACATTATCCCGCTTATTACATGGCTACTTGCCGCATAAGTAAATAATTAGACACAAAATAGATGTTGAAATATTTGAACGCAATGATTTCCTTGAATACAGCAGTTGCTAGCAGGCGGCAAGTTCAAACTAATCGGACATTTAAGGGAAACGGTGCAGTCATACCACTTATTACACAACATTTCACCACATAAATAATTATGGCAATAAAAGATATGGATTTAAGACAAAACTGTTTTAAAATCTTACCAGTATGTTAGTTATCTTATAATCCATTAAAATGTACAAAACAATCATTGCAAAATGGCAGCAGCTGCGTTTGTTTGAAACGAGAGAGTGAGTCCGTGATACCAGGATGACATAATTAAATAATTGTACACATAATATTGAATTGAGTTTTAATATTTTATTACCTGACCAAATGCAAATCTTTCACAAAGAAATACTGTTCCTAGCAAGAGTATAGCGCCAACTTCAGTTACCCGGATGAGACTGTGTTATCAGCTTTTACCGGTTGTTATCAAGGGATAACTAAATACTTATTTGTGTAACTACACTGCCACAAAGACACATTAAAGTTTGACCAAAGTGCTGACGTAACCACTATAATACAGCATAACAATCATTCGTTCATATTAGGGACGTTCATTTCGGTTATTTTTCCTAACCAACAACCAATGCTTGTTAACAGTTAACTGACAAGATTATTTTAAATTAGAATTGAATTAAATTAGAAAGGATAAGTGTCTGTGACCCGTTAAAAATACTAACATTTGTTTCCCGGGGATTAATTTTACATGTGCAAAAAGCAGCAAACAACAGAACATGAGGATTCACATGGCCATCATATCACATCACTCACCTGCAGTGCTTCTGCCAGCGGAGAAAAACATAATAAAGCTAGGCTATATATATATACAGTATATATATATATATTAGGGCTGTCAATAGATACAATTTTTTTTATCAGATTAATCCCACCCTTTTTCTGTGATTAATCGCACACTTCATGAAATTAAGCATAGACCATTTATCTTGTTTCAAATTGTTTTGTCATCATTTGCTATATTCAGCAAAGTAAACCAAAAGATTGAAGGGTGTAAATCCAGATTTAAAAAAATCTGTATTTTCTGCAAGCTTTTCTCAGGATAAATGTAGATCTCATTCCAAAAAAGAACTCCAAAAGGACATCAAAGAACCAAATGATATAAGGAGCCCATATAAGCACATATGAAAATAAAAAGCAATATATATATATATATATATGAATTGTATAGTATGTGTACAGTGCAACAGCAAATAGCTTTTTTACATTTTAGAGAAGTCAAGTTGCATAACCGAACAGGACCACATGGTGATGTCAAAAAATCCCTAAACCAACCGCCTGCTGCTGCATATATCTACTACAGTACACGAATCCATTCCGTATAACTAAACACAGCAACATAAACATGACAAATCAAAACATTATCGCGAATGTGTGTGGAAACAACGTGAATGTACGGAAATGTCTGTGCCTGTGCATAAATACAATGTGCGATCAGTGCATCAAGAGCACTCATACACGCATTAATATAACAGACTTACGCGTGCTTACTGTACGACTCCTGTATGCCACTGTATGTTTACAGTGTTTATTATAATGTTTGCAAACATTTCGCGTCGGCATTAGGTCTATTTCTGAATGAAATAATAAAATGTAAAAATAAATAATTAAATTACTTTTTAAACCATTTTTTGTATTAATTGGTCAAAATTCTTACCCTCGGTTAACTGGTTAAACGGTTAAAATGAACATCCCTAGTTCATATAGGATACCTTATATAATATATATCAATTATTAAGAATATTATATATTATGTTATATTAAAGAATATGTTTTAAACTAATAAAACCGTTTGTAATTCCTAAAAACGTCAAAGTTGGCGTTGGCAGTTGACGTCAAAGACAGCACACAGTGGAAAAGGTCTGTTTTACACTTTTAACAGATTCTGAAAAATAATCAGGCACTGGCAAACATCTAATATTCTATTTCACTTATGTCACACTGCAGAAATTAAATGTTTTGCTAATGTAATTTCATGTTGGGTTTAACCTGGAATATGACATAAATGTATCAACATTTGGCTTACAGATGGCATATGGAGTCAAGCTTCTGTTTGTTGGTTTAATAATTTAGTTTTATATGGAAACTGATTGTTATATGTTTTTGTTTCATTCCAAGGAACATGGACACCTTTCAACCCTGTGACTGTTAGATCAATTATATGTGAGTATTGTTATATTCTATGATTCACAAAACCATAGACAATGCTGTCTTTTTCTCTTTTTCAATCCTCTGTTTGTTTGTGAGCTCTATGACAACCTGCAGTGTTTCCTATTAGCACACTTCTCTAAGAAAGGTTCACTTGTTTCAGCTCAAACTGGAAGAATGTAGCTGTCATCTGCCTTGGAAGTAGCTCAGAAAGTGGAAGGTTTTTGTCTTAAACAACTGAAATCGGCAGAGCTTTTTTAGTCAATAATAATTGACTGTGTGTAATGATTCCTAACTCTAGAATAAGGTGATCACTTTCAGCTCATTTCAAGTGGATACACATGGCCTCCAAAACATTGTGATCTTTCTTGAATACATTTTCAGAATTTTTTGTCCATCTCAAATAGTTTTTGGGATTGTATCTGCACTCAATCTTTTCAAATCCAGGGCAAAATGTTATGAATGTACAGTGATTTGTAAACATAATACATGTTTTTGATAGAAAATTACT